ACGTTACCAGCAATGGTAAAAAAAAAAATTGGCCGATTTTCATCCTGTCTACAGCCGGCAAAAAAGTGTCCCTGCAGAGAGCTCCGCTATTTCTTTGACAGTTCTTTGACATTTATAGCGGTTCCAACATTGTATCTATTTGTATCCATTTAGGATACAGATGTTTTTATTTGGAAAGCAAATAGATACAATGTTGCAACCGCTGTAAATGTCAAAGAACTGTCAAAGAAATAGCGGAGCTCTCTGCAGGGACACTTTTTGCCGTACTGGAATTCCTATTATTTTTCATTTTCTTCTTCTTCATCTCTTCTTCCTCTTCTTCTTCCTCATCATCTTCCTCTTCTTCTTCCTCTTCTTCTTCCATCTTCTTCTTCATCTTCATCATCATCATCCTCTTCTTCATCATCATCCATCTTCTACTTCTTCATCATCATCATCATCCTCTTCTCCTCATCATGCTCTCCTCCTCCCCTTCCTCCCTCCTCCTCCCTTCTTCCTCCTCCCTCTTCCTCCTCCCTCTTCACTCCTCCCTCCCTCTTCCTCCTCCCTCTTCCTCCTCCCTCTTCCTCCTCCCTCTTCCTCCTCCCTCTTCCTCCTCCCTCTTCCTCCTCCCCTCTTCCTCCTCCCCTCTTCCTATCCTCCCTCTTCCTCACTCTCTCATCCTCTTCCCCTCTCCTCCCTCTTCTTCTCCTCCTCCCTCTCATCATCCTCTTCTTCTTCATCATCATCATCATCATCCTCTTCTTCCTTCCTCCTCCTCCTCTTCCTCCTCCTCTTCTTCCTCCTCCTCCTCCTTCTTCCTCCTCCTCCACCTCTTCTTCTTCTTCCTCCTCCTCCCTCTTCTTCTTCCTCCTCCTCCTCTTCTTCTTCCTCCTCCTCCTCTTTCTTCCTCCTCCTCCTCCTCTTCTTCTTCCTCCTCCTCCTCTTCTTCTTCCTCCTCCTCCTCTTCTTCTTCTTCCTCCTCCTCCTCCTCTTCTTCTTCCTCGCTCCTCCTCCTCTTCTTCTTCCTCCTCCTCCTTCTTCCTCCTCCTCCTCCTCCTCTTCTTCTTCTCCTCCTCCTCTTCCTCTTCTTCCTCCTCCTTCTTCTTCTTCTTCCTCCTTCTTCTTCATCCTCCTCCTCCTCCTCCTCTTCTTCTTCTCCTCCTCCCTCCTCTTCTCTTCTTCCTCCTCCTCTCTCTTCTTCTCCTCCTCCTTCTTCTTCTTCCTCTTCTTCTTCCTCCTCCTCTTCTTCTTCCTCCTCTTCTTCCTCTTCCTCCTCTTCCTCCTCTTCTTCCTCTTCTTCCTCTTCTTCTCATCATCCTCTTCCTCTTCTTCTTCCTCATCATCCTCTTCCTCTTCTTTCCTCTTCTTCCTCATCATCCCTCTTCCTCATCATCATCATCATCCTCTTCTTCTTCCTCTTCTTCATCATCCTCTTTTTACTTCTTCATCATCTTCATCATCCTCTTTTACTTCTTCATCATCATCATCATCCTCTTCTTCTTCATCATCATCTTCTTCTTCATCATCATCTTCTTCTTCATCATCATCTCCTCTTCTTCATCATCATCATCCTCTTCTTCATCATCATCCTCTTCTTCATCATCATCCTCTTCTTCATCATCATCCTCTTCTTCATCATCATCCTCTTCTTCTTCTTCATCCTCTTCTTCTTCTTCATCCTCATTCTTCTCTTCTTCATCCTCATCTTCTTCTTCTTCCTCTTCATCATCATCATCCTCTTCTTCTTCTTCATCCTCTTCATTCTTCTTCATCCTCTTCTTCTTCATCCTCTTCTTCTTCTTCATCCTCTTCTTCTTCATCATCCTCTTCTTCATCTTCATCATCTTCTTCTTCTTCATCCTCTTCTTCTTCTTCATCCTCTTCTTCTTCTTTTTCTTCTTTTGTCTTCCTCTTGCAGGTCACTGCTCATGCGCAGATTTTTTATCGGTAAAAATCGGCCGATTTGCCCATCATTGCCGCGAAAATCGGCCGATCGGCAAAATCGGCCGATTTTTTTTTTCCAACTTTACCGATAAAAAAAATCTGCCAAAATACCGAAAAACGGCCCGAAACAAATAGCCCACTAACGATCAGAAAATCGGCCAATTTTTATATTTTCGGCCGAAAAATCGGCCGATTTTCGACCCATCTATGGCCTGCATAAGTCCCTGGTCATATCAGGTGCGATTTACATGCCAGGTGATTTGCAAATCGTATGCCAAGTTGCACCCTATTGTCTGCTATTAGAGCGGTCATATTTTGATCGGAGCTGCACCGATTTCTAAAGTAGTACATGCACTACATTTATTGCGATTTGCATAGACATCTGTGTCACATGTCTTGCAAATTGCAAGGAAGTCGGCAGGTCACCCAATGTAGAAATCGTGCAACTTCACTGTAAGTCGCACGATTTCAAAATCTGCTTTGATGTGACCGGGGTGTAAAGCAGAATGAAACCCATCAATTTAACAGTTTCAGAAAAGTTACATTCATGGCACATGCCAGGATTGCGAAGTGTCGTATTTACTTGTGTTCTCAACTAAACTGTCAAACCATCAAATGTCTGGTGTCATAACTGATCACATGTACAGCTCCATGGCAGTTGCAGGTCAAACAGAGACTAAGATGGCAGCTTCCTTGGCTGAAAAGGAATGGAAGGGTCATACTTGCCTGCTCTGTGCAGTAGGTTTTATAGTTTCTTGGGCCCCCTGCCATCTGGCCCCTCCTCCATGCCGAGTGCCCCCCAGAGCAATCAGCTTGCTCTGGTCACACTCGTGTATGCTTGCTCCCAAACGGCCTCTGTGCATCTATCCTCACTGGCTGCGATTGACAGCAGGCAATGGCTCCCGCTTCTGTGTCTCAGCCAATGAAGAGGTAGTGACCCTGGAGAGCCACTGCTCTTTAAACCACTGTGAATTGATCCGGAAGTGGGAGCGGGTATCTGTCAGAACCAGGGACCCAGAACCACCAAAGGGTGCCAAATGTGGAGGGGGGAGAAGGCAGATAAGTGGAGCTTCCACTTTTGGGTGGCTTTAAAAGCCCTTTCTAACAGCTGCCGCTTATAAATAGTAGTGCAGGTAGACAACAAGTGGTTAATGTAATATACGGGGCTGTTCAGACTGAACATCTAAAGAAACATGCAAATCCAGTCATAAGGACAGCTAAAATGACATGCACAGCTCTGCCCTGTACAAAATGAGCCTGGTCCTGCTGCACTCTCCAGTCTTTGTGTCAGACTTTAAGGCTTCATATACACAAGTAGCTCCTAAACTTGAGTTTAGGAGTTTTTTTGGCATTTTTTTTCCAAAGCTCCTAAACGCAACTCCATAAAAGCCTATGTGTCCATGAACACATGGGCTTTTAGCAGAGTTTAAGAGCTGCTGAGTTTAGGTGAAGTCAAACCTCCTTCTCCTGAACACGAAAGAATCGTGTTCAGGATAGGAACTTTTTGACCGCCATCCGCGGGGAAAACGCTGTAAAAACACGGCAACCGCGGTACCACATTTTTGCCGCAGTCTGCGTTTCCCAGTGTCTGTCGGTCAGAGTAGGCTCGTGTACATGAAGTCTTATTCATTTGATTGGTCAGAGTATTTTCCATTGACATGGATAAACACCCAAGAGCTAAACGCGACTAGCGATTAGCCGCGTTTACATGCCTTTTGACACGTTTAGTGTTTTTTTGTTTTTTTTTTCTCTCCTGAACGCGATTATTCTGCTTTCAGAAGAGGAATTTTTAACTGCTCCTAAACTCTGGTAAAAGCCTATGTGTACATGGACACTAAATGTAATTTGTTTTGGGTTTACTTTGACAAACTTTTTTTCTTAGACCTGCCTTTGATTTTCATCTGAGGATTTTGTAATTAAACATGTACGTTGATTCTAGCTGCTCTTGAACAGCTTTGCATTCAGACTGACTTGTATGCGGAACTGGAAAAATCCACATGTACACAATCTGACAGCTGCCTTAATCTGAAGGTATGAGTGGGAAGAATGAATGAGGTAAATACTAATGCGGGATATTTTTTTTTTTTTTTTAGTATAAGCTCACCTTTTTTAAGGAAATAATAAATGCACATCCTTTTGCAGGTAAAAAAAATGTGCGTTTTATTATTTTACTAGGAGCCTGTAATGCATGGCACCCATGATTAACAGATCGTGGGTGCAATGCATGCCTCGTTGCGACTGTCAGTGTAAGCAGTCACCTTTTACGGGCAGGTAGTTGCACAATGACGGGAACCACTACTCTGGTAGGTCATTGAAAACTACAAGCCGGCAGCTGCAAAGGCTGATGGTAGTTGTAGTTTTCATATTCACAGGATTCTGTGAATGAGTAACGTGGCTGTCATTGTGATAGCGAGTTTGAGAAGATCCATAGCTTCCTGTCAAAAGAAATGGCGGATCGAGGAAAGGCTGCGGCAGTGGGAACATGATACATGTTCCCAAAGGTTTATCATTTAATTCTAAAAAAAAAAAAAAAAAAAAAAAAAAAAATTTTTTTGACACCTATGTAAACTCATTTTAATCCAAATAATTATGATTGAGTGGATGAAGTTGTAAAGATTACTTTTTGCCTTATAGTTCTTTAGGCATGCCAGTGCCCAAGTTTCAGCTGTTAATAATTGCCATTTAATAAGATGATTCACGTTCTGAATGATAGCCGCACCCTTCTCACTTGCTCAGAAATTATGCTTCTAATGCTAACGTGTCCACTTATAGGGGATGATGACTGCTTAGCGAAATTGCTTTATGAATATTGACTGGATTTTGTACAGTATATTGATCATGTTATTGGTCTGGGTAAGTGGGGTTGTGTGTAGGGATGTATTCCCCCATTCCCACAAATTAAATGACCCAAAAAGTTTTAATATGCAGAATGGAATGTGTTGTGTAGATGCCATGACCTAAATGCATATCATTTATAGTGTTTGCTAAGTGCATTTATTGAATGCCATCATTGCTGGTTTATCTTTTCAGATGATGTTTCTGTGACTTAGAAGACCTTTCTGGAAAAACTCATCATGATTTCTTCCCAGCTACAAGGGGTTCCTCCCCAGCTCAGGTAAAGTGACGTTGCTGTATTTATTTTGTACTTGTCAACCATTTCTATTTTTTAGAATTGGTGCTTTGAGCCAACTAGGAGCCAGTGAATTTTCTGACTCTGTACAGTAGTTTTGCACAAACCAGCCCCAGTCTTCCTCCTATGAGTTCCTTTTCCTCAGCCCTCTCCCCACTTCTTCTCAGAGTACCCCAACCCCCCAGCAAGCCACTTGCTTTGGGAGCACTCATTTTGGTGTGCCCATAGACACACACAGCAAGGCCTTGCCCCACCTCTTGCTTCCTCCTCACAGGATTTGATTGGCAGAAGGCACTAGCTTTTGCTGCTGTCAGATCTTCCTGTGAATACAGGATGAAGGGAGAAGAGATGCTGCAGACAAGACAATGCTTGTTGAGAGAAGACTTTGGTAAGTGTTTGGTAGGGAGAAGGTGGGGTGGCTGAAGGAGCTGTCATTGAAACGTTTTTACTTTTTACCTTAATGCAGAAAATGCATAAAGGTAAAAGCCCCTTTGCCTTTAGAATCACTTTAAAGTATTAAAATTGTATCACAATTATTTCTTCAGGCTTGGTTCCCATCTATGCAGATTGCGGTTGATTCATTTTCCGGGTGCATTATGCATGTTTTTCCACACTAGTTTTCCCCATTGCATTCTTTTATGCATTGTGCATTGTGTTTTTTAGCCGGCATCCTTAACAATTGTTAAATAACCGGGGCTGTGGTTGAGGGGGTCTGGGGGGGGTGACTTTTAACAAGAGGGGGGCCCCAGATCGCAGTCCCCTTCCCATGTGAATGAGCATGGAGTGAATAGTACCCCAAATAATTCACCAAAATAAGTGTAAAAAGTGAATAAAAACAGTCTTTGACAAGTCCTTGTTAGAAAAAAAAAATTTCCCCAGTAGATCCAGCGTCAATTACGATGAATGCTACCGCCAACCCAAAGCAAAAAAACAAAACAAAACTCTGCTCCCGACCAAGTATCCTACTCTCTGACAGCTCATAAACAAGCCCAGGGATGGAGCAACCCAGGGACATTGCCCCTCATGATGTCATCAACCCATCGTGCCTCGGTCGATGATGTCACAAGAGGCAGGGTCACCGGTCTGCCACACCCCTTAGCTTATTTATAGCGGAACTCCACCCAAAAGGGGATGATCTGCTTTAAGGACCGCTCCCCATTAAGGATTATCACTTTTGGGGAGGGGGAGCGGGTACCCAAATTTGACGGGTACCCGCTCCCACTTCTGGTCCGATCGCCTAGGCCTCCTTCCCTCCCTCCTTGTAGTCTTTTGGGACATGTGTCAGGTCCCAGAAGACTACAGGACCATTCATGAAGTGCAGCACTACTCGCGCATGCGCAGTGGGTACTTGGCTGTGAAGCCGCAAGCTATCACAGCCGGGTGCCCACACTGAAGATGCCGGCTTCCTGGAATACAGGACGGCTGGTGAAACGAGCTGTGGGGGACACACCACGGGACCGAGGGACAGGTTAGTGGCTGATTTTTAAAAGTCAGCAGCTACAGTTTTTGTAGCTGCTGACTTTTATTTTTTGATAGGTTGAGTGGAACTCCACTGTAAGAGAGCTGCCAGATGTCAGGAGCAGAGCTTTTTTTTTTTTTTTCCTCTTCCTTCAGGGCGGCGGTGGTGTTTCATCGTGATTGATGATCTGGCATTTCAGGGGGGCAATTTCTTTTTTTTTTTTTTTTTTTTTTATTACTGGTAATAGGTTTGTATATATTCAGCTGTCATTGGGGAACCCCACTGACAGCTGACGATCCGTGCGTTGTTAAGGACTCAGCAGCCACCTGATCCTTAACAACTAGCTTGAAGTCACACATGTAAAATGCATCAAAAACCCAATACTTGCATTTTTGGTGCAGTGCCATTGAAATCTTATTGCACGCAAAACGCAATCTGCTGCGAGAAAAAAGTCCCTGACTCTTTCAAAAATCTGCAATGGCTCAAAACACACAGATGTGAACTAGATCCATAGGAAATTATGTTAAATGAACTGTAGTGCATTTCTGCAAACCGGGAAACATTTAAATCTGCATAAGAAAGATGGTAAACCACATAATACTGCTTATATTCTGCCATACAGTAAAATGGAAAGACTATCACAAACCTGCAAGGACACATTATAATCTATGGCAATAAGCTGTATGTACCCACCCGAAAAGTGCTGCTGCTAAAAACATCAGCATTACAGCCACAAAACTACCATTTTCTGAGGCAAAGGTCCTTATATATCCTTTCAAAGCCACAAAGGGCTTCTGAAACTGAAGTTTTTAATTGCCTTTTGTGTTCAGAAAAACATTTCTCTTCAACATGTTCTATATGATAACATTTTATCACATAATGATAACTATTTTCTGACCATACAAGTATTGTAATAACGTTTTGGCAACCAATTTCTCCTTTACAGCCCGCAGGATCTCTCCCTTCAGATCAAGTCATTCCTAAGTGGTTCTGATCCTCAGCATGGACAGAAGTTGAGTCCTCGCGATCATGCCCGCTGTGCCTTGTTATTGTTGCGTTGCTTGCCTTCTGCCCGGCATGCTGTGCTGGAACACCTGCGTTCCGTATTTCATGACAGCGTTTCTTCATTCCTAAGTGAGAGAGACTCTCAAGAATCCCTTCCGCATTCCTCATCCTCCCAGCGTCGAGGGCCTCCTCCACTATCCACTCCAGGTTTGGATGAAGTGACAAAGGAGGTGCAAAAGGTGCTAGAAGAGTTTATTAAGCTTAATCCAAGAGCTTGGGCACCCCTCATCTCTGCGTGGTCTATTGAACTTATGGGACAGTTAAGCAGTAAACATGCAAACCGACAAGGAATGCCACACTCTGCAAGTCTCAATGAATTATTACAGTTGTGGATGTCATGTGGAGCCACACGAGTTCTTATGGACATCTATACTCTCTGCCTTTCCACTATGATAGATAGCTGCCCAGATGCCTGTGTGGATGCTTTGCTAGATACTTCAGTTCAACACTCCCCACATTTTGACTGGGTGGTAGCACACATTGGGAACTCCTTTCCAAGTACCATAATCAGCCGAGTGCTATCATGTGGACTTAAGGATTTTTGTGCACACAGCTCTCCTGCTGAGGCCCCTGAAAAGCGTGTGCCAAAGCTGGGCTCTGTGGTGGGTATTTTAGGGCATTTAAGCTCACGCCATGGAAACAGCATTCGTCAGGAGATACTGAGGATGTTTCATGAAAGTCTGAGGCCCGGAAGCAAGCAACAGAGAGCAACTCTACCATATTTGTTGCAGCTGGCAGCTCTTTCACCATCTTTGTTGGGAACAGTTTGTCAAGATTTGGTAGATTCTTTAAAGCCCAGCACATTATCCCAGCTACAGCAGCACTGCTCAACCCTTCCTCGTGATGAATTGGACAACATGCTTAATCTAAGTGTGCACCTGGCAGGCCAAACATCTGCTGGTGCTCCACGTCTCCTGCGTTTTCTTTTGGATACAGCAATGCCTGCTTCTGTTATAACTACGCCAGGGTTAGCAGTGCATGATTCTGTCAGGGAAGCTTGTGATCGTATTGTGAGATTGTTACTTCTCAGTCTACAAAAACAGGTTTATGGAAGAACAGGGGGAAGGGGAGCAACTGAAGCCCAGCCAAGAGCAGTTCCATTTTTAGATGCTATGCGGGGCCATCTTACAGAATTGTGTGCTGAAATGTTACGATTAGAGAGGAAGCGTCACTTGTGGATTCATCAGCTTCTGGGATTGCTGTGCATCTATAGTAATCCACCATGTGCCCCAGAAGCCCTTTGCCTATTGCTTACTCTAGCTCAGAGTCCTGAGGAGCTGGGCCTAGCAGTCCAGCTTCATGCAGTGCTTTCATCCTCTATGCAAGGTTTAGCTCCAGCAGTAGTCACACGATGTGTGTCTCAGGTACATGCAGGTGCTCTGACTGATAAGAGAGCTCTTCAGTTGTTGCAGAACTTGGCTCTTGTTGTCCAGAGTGAAGAAGGGGGAATGGGTAGAGAGATAGGAGCAGCTCTTTCTGAGCATTTGTCTGATTTTGGTCAGCTGCTTCTACACAGCACCCCTGGAGTGTGTGAGGCTTCTTGTCTACTACTGTGTTGTTGTACTTTCCCTTCATCTCTACCCCCTGCCCAGCTCCACCTTCTTATTCGCTCATCTTCATATCTTTTATTCCATTCCATGCACATACGCAGTAGCTCTGGAGTAAGCAGTGCCTCTCGACTTCTTTTACGCCTCAGTAAAGTTTCTCATGCTGGCAGAAAAGCAGTGCTACATCAACTTGTTGAAGGTGCACTGCATCCGGGCAATGCAGGACTTTTTGGAGGGCAGAGCACTGTCCCTGTGTCTCAGAAATCAGAGGGAGCAATCGGATCTCTTTTAGAGAGCAACAGCCACCTTGGTTCAACAGTAGATTTTTCAGGAAGTGTGTGGTCTGTGTTTCATGCAGGAGTAATCGGAGCGGGGTTAAAGCCAGAGGAGAAAAGTCGGCAAAGTGGGCAAGAAGAGTGTGCTGCTGAAATACACAAAGTCTGCTTTCTCTATTATGCTTCTGCTGTGCCAATAAAGGAGAAGAAGATGATCAGCTGACTACTTTAGACCCTGAGGCAGCCAAGACTTTGGCAGTGACAATCACTGAGTGTGCTTGCCCTGATGTGACAAACAGTGAGTTGGCTTGGCCACCAGAGGAACATGCACGAACCACAGTACAAAGAGACTTACTTATATATATATGCTTCCATAAAAATCCTTTACTTTTTCACCTTCTCCATCTTGTGGCACAGGGTCGTCCTGCTCTTTGTTATTGTTCAGTTTTGCTTAGAGGTCTTCTTGCTACACTTTTGGCACATTGGGAAGCATCACGTGACTCATCTTCTGTCAACTCTCCCTGGCACCTGATAGCTTCTTGTGAGTTAGTATCCTGCATGGGCGAAGGACAGCTCCTTCCTCCAGCTCTCACAAACATGCATGAGATGTTCTCCCTCCTTGCACCATATGAGGTCCGCTTGCTACTGCTCAGTGTTTGGGACTTTGTACGAGAAAATGGGCCTTTTCCACAGCGATTTGTATTTCAGGCAGGGCGAGGAGCATTCAATAGAGACTTCACTCGAGAAGGCGACCCGGCCAAGTACATGGGTATTGTACATAGTGTTTTACATCGAAACATCGATCGTCTTGGACTGCTTTCAGGGCGGTTTCAGTTGTGACCTAGGTCAACTCCAGCTTTACTGTAATGTACAAGCCGCTAAACTACTGGAAACGTCTACATAAATAAAGTGATGCTTCTTTTTTTTTTTTTTTTTTTTTTTAGTTTTGGTATCACTACAGACATCACAACCATTCATAGATTTGTCTTTTATGAGTCTGAGGTAATTTGGAAAAAGGCTCAGAATTGGAGCCTGTGGAGAGATTTACTAAAACTGGTGCACTCAGACTCTGGTGCAGATGTGCATGATAGCCAATCAGTTTCTAACTTCAGCTTGTTCAATTAAACTTTGGCGATAAAACCTGGAAGCTGATTGGTTTCTATGCAGAGTTGCACCAGATTTTGCGCTCTCCCTCTTTAGTAAATAACCCCCCTTGAGCACAGCATATGTGCATATTATTTTTTTTACTATTTCTACTTTACTACTTATAGTATTTACTATATTATTTTCACAGTGGTATTGATAGTATTCAAACAATGTCTTTTTTGCTCCTTTTCTTTTCTTCTGTTTTCATAAATCCGCCCCATACGTTAGTTCTATCATAGTTTAGTTATACTGGAAAGAAATAGACATGGGTAGTACAAGACAACTAAAGACGCTTTTTGATGATAGATTTTCATATGTTGTACTCATTGAATTTTCAAAGCATCACAGGAATGAGACCTGCATCCTTACAAGTGCTGTCTGTACCAGTATATGGGAAGAAAGCTAAAACTGAAAACGGAGCACACTGGATAGTGTATACCAATACACTTTAATCAAAATAAGTTACTTACAATGAATGATTTGATTGGGGCATACCACCAAAGTATAATATTTACAGGAATAGCCACCAGTTGCTGAAAAAAATCTCTCAGTGTGAAGCCAGCAGTGGGAGAGGAAATTGGGCAACAAGGTTTCACTGTTGCAAACATTGGAGAGACAGAAAGGGGAAAGATACAAAGACATCCCAAGCTAGTGCACAATTGGGAAGAGAAAAAAAAAATCCTGCACTCAGCATAACTCCTCGATAACAAATAACCCAGCTGCCAGCTCGTATATTGTGATACGTAGTATAAATTAAACCAAAACCAATCATTAGCAGCGCTAGGTCAGTTATATATAAGGGCAAAACATAACTCTACATAAATCGTGCATCCATCCTAACCCATGTAATCAAAAACAAAACAAATGATCCCAAATGTGTGTAAAATGTATTCTCATGCATCCACACAATGCATGTGAAAAATAGTCCAGTGACTTTAAAGTGGCAATGTAACACCTCCAAAATTCCTCAGTAGTGCATATTAACAAAATATAATGTGATAAATAAAATAAAAACTGGTGCTGCAAAAGTCTGTAATGCCAGTGTAAAATCCCAATAAACTTGGTCTTTTTAACACCTGATAAAGCAAAGTTCTGGCACACAAAAAGAGAATGCGCTTGCCAGACGTTTATGACCCCCAAGAATGGTGTGGTCATGAGAATGTGACCTAAATCCTCTACCACAAGCTATCTTATGCTTTCAAGGGTTAATTTTCCAAGCTCGCAATAATACAAATTATGACCAAAAAAGAGACGAAAGGCTGGAAATAGTGTAACTCCGCAGATAAAAGTATTGTTAGAAAGGATCAAAAAAACTCATGTAGAACATTATCAGCGAGCATTCATCTATACAGCTAAAGAATTCTGACTGGCGTTGCTGGTATGTGTGATAGTGTCAGTGTCCAGGCTCTGCATTTTGTCAGAGTATTATTATATTATTCTTATTATATGGTATTTATAAAGCGCCAATAGTTCACTCAGCGCTGTACATTACAAAGGGGGACAGAACATGTGACAGAACAGTACCAATACAATGCAAAACATGAGGGGATTGAGGGCCCTGCTCTTTCGAGCTTACAATCTAGGAGGGAGGGGATGGCGGCACAGGAGGAGATAGCTGTGGGGGATGGAGTGGTAGGAAGAGTGGAGGAGGTCGGCAAGTTAGCAGGGGGTGGGGTAGGCTTCCCTGAAGAGATGGGTTTTCAGGGTGCGCCTAAAGGAGAGGAGAGTAGGTGATAATATGATGGGTTGGGGCAGGGAGTTCCAGAGGATGGGTGACACCCTGGAGAAGTCCTGGAGGCGGGCATGGGAGGAGGAGACCAGGGAACTAGAGAGAAGGAGGTCTTGTGAGGAGCGGAGTGTGCGTGCTGGGCGGTACTTGGATATTAGGTCAGTGATGTAGTTCGGGGCAGTATGGTGGACCGCTTTGTACGTCAGTGTTAGGATTTTGAATTTGATCCGTTGCACAATCAGAAGCCAGTGGAGGGATTGGCAGAGGGGGGTGGCGGCGGAACGGAGCGGTTGGAAAGGTGAATGAGTCTGGCAGCCGTATTCAGGATCGACTGAAGCAGGGATAGCCAGCGGCGAGGCAGGCCAGTGAGGAGGGAGTTGCAGTAGTCAAGTCGTGATATGATGAGGGAGTCGATGAGCCGTTTAGTGGTTTCTGGGGTTAGGAACGTGCGTATTTTGGCGATGTTGCGGAGGTGGAGTCTGCATGAGTTAGTTAAAGATTGGACTTGGGGCTGGAAGGATAGGTTGGAGTCCAGAATGACACCAAGTACTCTGGCCTGCGGAGCGGGTTTGATGGTGGCGTTGTTGGATGTGATGGAGAAGTCAATGGGGGGGTGTCCGGGCTGGGGGGAAGATAAGAAACTCGGTTTTGGAGAGGTTCAGTTTAAGGAAGTGGAGCGACATCCAGTCTGATATGTCGCTCAGTAGGTGTGTGATTCGGGCGGAGACCGAGGGGGTGAGGTGGGGGGTTGAGAGATAGATTTGTGTCTCTCGTCGGCATAGAGGTGGTAGTTGAAGCCGTGAGAGTGTATGAGTTGGCCAAGGGAGGAGGTGTAGATGGAGAAGAGAAGGGGCCCAAGGACAGAGCCTTGAGGGACCCCAACAGAGAGGGGGAGTGAGGGGGAGGTGGTAGCATTATAGGTAACGCTGAAGGAGCGTTGTGACAGGTAGGATGAGAGCCAGGAGAGAGCAGAATCTCTGAGGCCAAGGGAGTGTAGTTTTCTGAGGAGGAGGGGGTGGTCAACTGTGTCGAAGGACGCAGAGAGGTCAAGGAGTAGGAGCACTGAATGGTGGCCATTGGCTTTGGCGGTTAGCAGGTCGTTGGAGAGTTTGAGTAAGGCGGTTTCGGTGGAGTGTAGGGGACGGAAGCCGGACTGTAGGGGATCGAGGAGGTGGTTGTCGTTGAGGTGAGCATAGGCGGGTGTAGACGAGGCGCTCAAGGAGTTTAGATGTAAATGGGAGCAGGGAGATGGGTCTGAGATTGTTCGGGTCATTGGGGTCCAGGGAGGGCTTTTTAAGTATGGGGGTGATGTGTGCATGTTTCAGAGGGGAGGGGAAAATGCCTGAGGAGAGGGAGAGATTGAAGATGTGGGTGAGGGAGCGTAGGATGGAGGGGGAGGGAGGTCGTAGGAGTTGTGAGGGGATAGGGTTGAGGGGGCAGGTGGTGAGGCGGGCATCAGAGAGGATCTTGGAGACTTCCTCGATGGTAGTAAGGTCAAAGGTGCGGAGTGTTGGGGGAGCTTCAGTATGAGGAATGTAGGGTGGGGTGGAAGTGGAGGTCAGAGCAGTGGAGGGGCCGTGGGAGAGGGGTGATGAGGGAGTAGCTGAGTGAGGGGGAACGGGGTTGGAGGGAGTTTGAGCAGCGACGAAGTCCCTGCAGGTTATGTCAAGGGAGAGGGGGGATGAGGGGGTAGCTGTGTGAGAGGGGACGGGTTGAGAGGATGTATGAGTTGCGGCGATGTCCTTGCGAATTGTGTCAATCTTGTTTTTGAAGTGATTGGCGCAATCTCAAGGGCGGTGAGTGAGGTGCTGGGTGGAGGTGGGGGTGGAGAGAGTAGAGAGTTGAAGGTGGAGAAGAGTCGGCGAGGATTGGAGGAGAGGGTCTTGATGAGGGTCAGGAAGTAGGCTTGTTTGGCTGCGTGGAGGGAGGAGGTGTAGGTGTGGAAGGCAGATTTGTAGCGGGTTAATGCTTGTTGGGATTTGGTTTTGCGCCATAGTCGCTCCAGGGCACGACTGCGTCGAGTATGACATCTTCCAGGGGTTCCGGAGTGCCGTTCATTCCACATATGCCACAATATATCAAAAAGGACAGGGGAGTGATCCACATTGTCTAATGAATAACAACAATTGGCTCCATTACACATCAGACTTCCACAAACCCATATAGTAAAAAACTACTGCGCTGATCCACAGAGATCTTGGTTGGCTGGGACATATAGTACAATAAGGGGTAGTAGTAGCAGCTTTCCAGGTATTCCACTGAGTGGCAGAATGTGATCTATACAAAAACAGAGCACACATCTGCCCCAGTGTAACTTAATTTATTAATGTAAAAGAAAAACTAAAACCACTGCATTCACATGATCAAATGCTTGTCGGGTACCTAAATCAAAAGTCCTCAGCTTCTCCCTAGTGGTCACTGCGATGAGTAATTGGGACTGGAGTGGTGATGGTGCTCTCTAGATGACAGCTCTCTGTGTCAGCAGAGCAGCGGTGGTGGGGGAGAGCATGCCACCGCTACTGTTCATGTGCCCTATCCAGCCGGGTTCCAGATGGAATGCAGCCCAGAGGGGAAGAGGGAGGTGATCAACGTGCACTGCGTGGTTGCTATGATGAAGCATTTCGTAGGCTTTTGTCAAGGGGCAACTCGAGGGATAACATGCTGAGGGACCACAGCAACCGATATAATACAGAAATAGATAAAAATAAGCCATGCCTTATTCTGAGAAGTCCCGAGTGTATATGCATATCAATTCTAAACATAAGCAAAATAAACATATTAGTTACTAAACCCAGGATCCTGCATTCACTATAGCTAGTCTCCCACAGTACACACAACATGGAAATGCTATTATTTTAGTAAATATGAACTGCCAGATACCTTTTCTCATCAGCAGTATATAGCAGTCTTGTGACTTTTATCAGTGTCCAGCTGAGCACTGGTTAATAGGAAGAGGTTTTGTTCT